TAACTCTGAGGTGTGTCTTGTACCAATCTGTGTGTCATGATAGTTCTGAGTTGTCTCAGATACAAAACTGTGTGTCATGATAGTTCTGAGTTGTCTCAGATACAAAACTGTGTGTCATGATAGTTCTGAGTTGTCTCAGATACAAAACTGTGTGTCATGATAGTTCTGAGTTGTATCCGATACAACTCTGTGTGTCATAATAGATCTGAGGAGTCTCTGACACAACTCTGTGTGTCATTATAGCTCTGAAGTGTCTCTGGTACAACTACATGTGTAATTACAACTAGGTGTCTCTGATACATCTCTGTGTGTCATTATAGCTCTGAGGTGTCTCTTGTACAACATCATTATAACTCTGAGGTGTGTCTGGTACAACTCCATGGGTCATTATAACTAGGTGTCTCTGATACAACTCTGTGTGTCATTATAGCTCTGAGGAGTCTCTGATACAACTCTGTGTGTCATTATAACTCTGATGTGTCTCTTGTACCAGTCTGTGTGTCATGATAGTTCTGAGGTGTCTCTGATACAACTCTGTGTGTCATTATAGCTCTGAGGAGTCTCTGATACAACTCTGTGTGTCATTATAACTCTGAGGTGTCTCTTGTACCAATCTGTGTGTCATGATAGTTCTGAGTTGTCTCCGATACAACTCTGTGTGTCATGATAGTTCTGAGGTGTCTCTTGTACCACTCTGTGTGTCATTATAACTCTGAGGTGTCTCTGGTACAACTACATGTGTCATTATAACTAGGTGTCTCTGGTACAACTCTGTGTGTCATAATAGATCTGAGGAGTCTCTGATACATCTTTGTGCGTCATTATAGCTCTGAGGAGTCTCTGATACAACTCTGTGTGTCATTATAGCTCTGAGGTGTCTCTGGTACAACTCTGTGTGCCATTATAACTCTGAGGTGTCTCTTGTACAACTCCATGGGTCATTATAACTAGGTGTCTCTGATACAACTCTTTGTGTCATGATAGATCTGAGTTGACTCAAGTACAACTTTGTGTGTCATTATAGCTCTGAGGTGTCTCTTGTACAACTCTGTGTGTCATTATAGCTCTGAGGTGTCTCTTGTACAACTCTGTGTGTCATTACAGCTCTGAGGAGTCTCTGATCCAACTCTGTGTGTCATTATACCTCTGAAGAGTCTCTGATACAACTCTTTGTGTGATGATAGATCTGAGTTGACTCAAGTACAACTTTGTGTGTCATTATAGCTCCCACCTGTCTCTTGTACAACTCTGTGTGTCATGATAGTTCTGAGTTGTCGCCGATACAACTTTGTGTGTCATGATAGTTCCGAGTTGTCTCCGATACAACTCTGTGTGTCATTATAACTTTGAGGTGATTCTAGTACCACTCTGTGAGTCATGATAGCTCTGAGGAGTCTCTGATACAACCCTGTGTGTCATTATAACTCTGAAGAGTCTCTGATACAACTCTGTGTGCCATTATAACTCTGAGGAGTCTCTGATACAACTCTGTGTGTCATTATAACTCTGAAGAGTCTCTGATACAACTCTGTGTGCCATTATAACTCTGATGAGTCTCTGATACAACTCTGTGTGTCCTGATAACTCTAAAGTGTCTCTAGTACCACTCCATGTGTCATGTTAGTCCTGAGGTAACTTACACAGATCAATGAGTTGGATGTAGCTGGCACAGGTGTACGTGTACCCTACCGTATACTATGATTTACTGTCTCTTATTCAAGTCTGATGCCTTTAAACTATGTAACATTAAATTTATTTTTGATAATTAAAACCCAACATTTTATCTATAGTAAAATGTGATTTTCATTTTTTGTTACAATATTTTAGTTTTAGTTTTCGTGTAATGGGACCATCCTAATTTGTTAAATGTTGTAGCTTAAGTTCAATACCACTTTTAAATTATTTGTTACAATTTTACAATACATACTACCATACACACTGGATAAGTGATGTGACTTTGATGTAAACTGGTAATATTAACACAATGATGGACCCTCCTGTCCTAGTTCTAGTATTCCTGATGCTGATATAAATATTATCAAAGCCAGGCTACTGTGAAAAGGGTAAACAGATTTATTACAACAATGAATTCTTATAATATCTATGTATCACAATATGGATACACATGTATTACCAATTATATATATATACAGTACATACTATGTAAATATAACAATGAAACTAATCATGTATCTGGTTGAGGATTCATTCACGTAATCATGTACGTATACCTGTATAATTATCAACAGGAACCTTGTACCTTAATGTGCTTAAGAAAAAAGTTCCCTTTGCTTCATCCCTAAAATTCCAGGGGATTGCCCACGTCCTCTGCACCTCTGGAATATGTCATGCACCACCTTGTGGATGATACACTTAAGACTAGTTTGATCATGTGATGAACATCAAAAGAATCGCACAGCACCATAACAGCAAAACTGACTGGCTATGAAGTCGGGTGTTGCTCCTTTGTAATCTTCATAGGACAGGTATTGGCCTAACAATTGGTCAATGTTTTTATACCTGAAACCAATCAAATCTCAGTTGGTGCCTTCAATTTTGTTATGAAATCTTCCAGAGGTGCAGAAAACGTAAGTAAGCGTAACCTGTTACACCTTGAATTTGAGAATACTTTAACACATACTGTGCAAAATGCTATAAAATATATCTTTTGATCCTGTTCATCCCTGTGCTCTTACATGTCATCCGACATTATTAACAGGGAAACGTCCATCCTCCTCCAATCTTATACATTTTGAGAGAAACGTCAATCCTCCTCCAATCTTATACATTTTGAGAGAAACGTCGATCCTCCTCCAATCTTATACATTTTGAGAGAAACGTCAATCCTTCTCCGATCTTATACATTTTGAGAGAAACGTCAATCCTCCTCCAATCTTATACATTTTGAGAGAAACGTCAATCCTCCTCCAATCTTATACATTTTGAGAGAAACGTCCATCCTCCTCCAATCTTATACATTTTGAGAGAAACGTCAATCCTCCTCCAATCTTATACATTTTGAGAGAAACGTCCATCCTCCTCCAATCTTATACATTTTGAGAGAAAAAAAGTCATCCTAAAAAGTCATCCTTATATGTACCATTAAAATTCACAAATATCATTTAGCCCACATCTCTGGATTGGATCGTGAAAAGAATGTGATACAGTACCCTATTAAATATTTCCTAAATGCAACAATCTTTGCAATTTATTATGGTCCATTAGCTCAATATTTCTTTAAAGGTGTTGAAATATGTATATCTCAGATACAATAGATGTATTATGTGATCTATCGAGTTTCAGTGGTTTGTGTTGATCAAAATTTGTCATAAAAATTTAACTGATTATTTTAGATTTGTTGTAATTTGTTTAAGTTTTCATCCTCCTCTCAGTGATGGCGGGGGATATAGAAATGGAGTCCGTCCGTCCGTCTGTTCATGCACCAGGTTAGGAAGAATTGCTCTCATCTATATCTTGCCTACTACAAGTGCGATGTTGATTATACTTGCATCAATTTTGCATCTAGGGTCGCTCTACTGAATGCATATTGTGGATGCTGATTTTGATCTTATTTTATGCTTCATGTTTTTAACGACTTTTGCACTGTGAGCGGGGAATAACGATGACAGCGTCTTCTCGTTACACTGTATAATGGTATCAACAATACACTAAAAACAAACAATCATAATGCCCTTCTACAAAAATATTGGAACGGGCAAATGGCAAGGCAGTGCTTAAATGAAGTTATTTGGACGAAATGTCTCAATATTAAACTGACAGCTGACTTGGCACATCGTGGCTTAGCGAGTTGTTTTCAGCTGTATAGAGTCAAGATACCAGCCATTTACACTCTTAGCTTGACAAAGGAAATACATGTTCTCAATAGTTTGAAAACTAAGTTTTTAATTACTGTTTGTGTTCAAAACAAATTTAGTATATAAGACTGGTTTTTGAACAGGACAGAAGTAGATGATCACATTTTTAATTCATCCTCCTTGTCAAAATACTGGTGTAAACCTTGTCAAAAATATAATATTTTTTTTTTAATTTTTATTAGATCTCCTACATCATATTATCATCATAAAATGTACTGTACAGATAACATGTGTTTATATCCTTCATAACTAGGCATATAAATATATACTATCAATAAAAAATGATAATAACAAGAGTCCCAATGGGCCTGCATCGCTCACCTGGTATAAATCTCACACTTGTAACCTTAAAAGTGATCTAAAATAAAGCTACAGGCAAAATATCAGTATTTATGATAAAAATTCATTCAAAAGATCCATTTTTTTTTTTTTTAAACATTCCAGCCCTGTGATTGAAAGTCGAACAAAGTCATTATGTTGAACAAATTTTATAGCCTTTCATCACAGGATGCAATTTGCAAAGTTTCAACATCCTGGAACCCATGGTTATTCAGAAGAGGTCGTTTAAAGATTTTTAACATATTTGACCCCTGTGACCTTGAATATAAGTGAAGGTAATTCATTTGAACAAACTTGATAGCCCTTTACCCCAGCATGCTACTGGCCAAATATCATCACCCTGGGCATTTTGGTTATTCAGAAGAAGTTGTTTAAAGTTTTTAACATATTTGCCCATGTGACCTTGAATATGGGTGGTCATTTATTTGAACAAACTTTGTAGCCCTTTACCCCAGCATGCTACTGGCCAAATATCATCACCCTGTGCATTTTGGTTATTCAGAAGAATTTGTTTAAAGTTTTTAACATATTTGCCCATGTGACCTTGAATATGGGTGAAGGTCATTTATTTGAACAAACTTGGTAGCCCTTCACCCAAGCATGCTACTGGCCAAATATCATCTCCCTGGTCAGTTTGGTTATCGAGAAGAAGATGTTTAAAGTTTTTAATATATTTGACCCCTGTGACCTTGAAAATCGGTGAAGGTCATTAATTTTAACAAACTTTGTAGCCCTTCATCCCAGTTTGCTTCTGGCCAAATATCGACACCCTAGGCCTTTCGGTTATTAAGAAGAAGTTGTTTAAAGTAAAATATTAACGCCAGACGACGGACGACAGATGCCACGCCACGGCATAAGCTCCGTGCCAGGTGCGCTAATAAACCCTATTGGACATAAGAAATCAGTTTTCTATGGGCTAAATTGTTTGATATTAATTGTTTATGAGATGGGATGACTTTGTAATAAGCTAGAAATTGAAAGAAGCATGTTCAAAGTAAAGCTGATTTATGTGTTTATAACCCTGTCGAACCCCAGATATAAGTTAAATTTAGGCTAAACCATTTATGTTGTTTATGATGTATGACTTTGTTGTAACATAGAATTTGAAAGAATCGTTTCACAGTAAACCTTATTTACTGTAGAAGTACACCAGATTTCTTAGGAAGTTACTAGCAACTGTGTAACCTTGGTAAAGATAAAAAAAATATTTTTTTTTTCAAACTTTTATTTTAACAAATGATAGAGACCTCATCATTTTCTTTTCCCTCCTCCCCCTTTACCGCCTCTACCCCCTCCTCCCCCCTTGCCGCCTCTACCCCCTTTAAAACCCTTTCCTCCCTTAAAGGAGCCCTTTGGCCCTCCTTTCCCTTTTTTTCCTCCTCCAAATCCTTTGGATTTTCCTCTGTTGGGTGTCTTGCCAGAACTGGAACAGTAAAAAAACACTTTTAACATAAAAAGAAATCAGTTATGTAACGGCATATATTGCATGAATATTTAAGTAAATACAAATATCAATAACAACACATAAACATATCTTGAGTGAACCTGAAAAAGTAGAAAACCACATACTGCTGTTTAGAAGTTTCCTCAAAGTTAATGAAAATAATAAACTTTATTCATTGAGAATAAAATGCATGTGAACTAAAAAGCTTATCTTCCATGTTTACATATCAGTTTCACAAACACTCCAAACTTTCCCAGTAAATCTCATAAGCCTTTCAAGTTGGTTTTAAAAACCACTCAGTCTAACTTATGCTCCAAACCTGCTCCATCTGTTTCACAAACACTCCAAATGACCTTAGTTTATGAATGGATGGACAAACATACAATAGATCCCAGAGGGATCTTGGCGCCCACCTTTGTACCATCTTCATTAGTTCTTTGTTAGTTCGATCTTTTCTCTTCTTTCCTCTAATCTGTTTGATCGAGTCATGTTAACAGTAAATGCACCTTGAGGTAACTTTTGATCTAAACTTAATACTGATGTGTATGAAAGCCAACCTTCAAAGTGAGTTTGTCATTTCACATATTTACTAGTACAGTACTTAATGTGAAAGAAATAGAATCGATCATTGCAATATGAGAAAGATCTGTTTAGTTCTTCTTTTAATCCATTTTGTTTTTATGATCAGTCTCAAAATATAACATACACAACGAGGGATCAAGGGGAACCTACATTTAAAATTTGAGAAAGATCCCTCCCGTACTTCCCGAGAAATAGCGATAACAAACTTTCACTATCAAAATCCAAGATGGCTGCCTGTCGGCCATGTTGTTTATCCGATCAGTCTCAAAAGTTGCCCTGCACAGCTAAGGACCAAGGGGAACCTACATATAAAATTTGAGAAAGATCCCTCTGGTACTTCTTGAGAAATACCGATAACAAGAATTGTTTACGGACGGACGACGGACGACGGACAACGGACGGACGACGGACCACGGACGCAGGGTGATTTGAATAGCCCACCATCAGATGATGGTGGGCTAAAAACGAAGGGCCCACTACAAAATTCTGTATGTAACAAACATTCTTAAACCATCCCTGTCAGTACCACAAATTCTTATATATAAACCTTTCCTGTCAGTACCACAAATTCTTATATATAAACCTTCCCTGTCAGTACCACAAATTCTATAAACCTTTCCTGTCAGTAACACCACAAACCTTCCCTGTCAGTAACACAAATTCTTATATATAAACTATTCCAGTCAGTTACACCAATTCTATAAACCTTCCCTGTCAGTAACACAAGTTCTATAAACTTTCCATATCAGTAACACAAATTCTTATATATAAACCTTTCCTGTCAGTAACACAAATTCTATCAATCTTCCCTGTCAGTAACATAAATTCTATAAACCTTTCCTGTCAGTAAAACCACAAACCTTCCATGTCAGTAACACAAATTCTATAAACCTTCCGTCAGTACCACAAATTCTATAACCCTTTCCTGTCAGTAACACCACAAACCTTCCCTGTCAGTACCACAAATTCTATAAACCTTCCCTGTCAGTACCACAAGTTCTATAAACTTTCCATATCAGTAACACAAATTCTATCAACCTTCCCTGTCAGTAACACAAATTCTATAAACCTTCCCTGTCAGTACCACAAATTCTAAACCTTCCCTGTCAGTAACACAAAGTCTATAAACCTTCCCTGTCAGTAAAATCAATTCTATAAAACCTTCCCTGTCAGTAACACAAATTCTATAAACCTTCCCTGTCAGTACCACAAAGTCTATAAACCATCCTTGTCAGTAACACAAATTCTTATATACAAACCTTTCCTGTCAGTAACACAAATTCTTATATATAAACCTTCCCAGTCAGTACCACAAATTCTATAAACCTTCCCTGTCAGTAACACAAATTCTATAAACCTTCGCTGTCAGTAACACCATTCTATAAACCTTCCCTGTCAGTAACACAAAGTCTATAAACCTTCCCTGTCAGTAACATCAATTCTTTAAACCTTCCCTGTCAGTAACATCAATTCTATAAACCTTCCCTGTCAGTACCACCAATTCTATAAACCTTCCGTCAGTACCACAAATTCTATAAAACTTCCCTGTCAGTAACACAAAGGCTATAAACCTTCCCTGTCAGTTCCACCAATTCTATAAACCTTCCGTCAGTACCACAAATTCTATAAAACTTCCCTGTCAGTAACACAAAGGCTATAAACCTTCCCTGTCAGAAACACCAATTCTATAAACCGTCCCTGTCAGTAACACAAAGTCTCTAAACCTTCCCTGTCAGTACCACAAAGTCTCTAACCCTTCCCTGTCAGTAACACCAATTCTATAAACCTTCCCTGTCAGTAACACAAAGTCTCTAAACCTTCCCTGTCAGTACTACAAAGTCTAAAAACCTTCCCTGTCAGTACCACCAATTCTATAAACCTTCCCTGTCAATTNATCTAACAGAATTACATGGCAATGTTACCTTTCACTGTTTTCCTCCATCATTTGTGTGTTGACAGCTCTTGCCACGTCTACAACAGGTTCTTTGTTTTTTAGCTTCTGTAAAATGTCCAGCTGTTTACTTGTCTCATTTTTCAAGTTACCGTAATTTTCCTCAAACTGAAAGAAAACACATAAAATCAGAATTAGGAAAAAAACTCATCTTAATACCTACATGTAGCTCTCGTCCATGGAGACCCTCACTCTAACCACAGAACATTGCTTCTCTAGTTTTTTTTTTTCAATTTTTCATGAAATGAGTTAACATTACGTTTTGACTAAATCAGCAATGACAGACCATTGCAGTGTTTGAGACATGTCATTCTATTGTAAATAACGTTGAGACTACATTGAATACTACAAAATACACCAATTATATTATTGTTTTGAAATTGTGTATTGGATATGGATATTGGTGAAAGGCTATAAATGAAGTTGACACCAAATAAATAGAGACAAAATTACTATGCATATAAAATTGATCGAGCACAAATTTGATTGAAAAGACAAATCTTTGTATCATCTTTTTGCAAGATGCTTTGTTAGCTTATATATACCTGGTATATAATTAGCTTCCTTTATGTTCCTTCATTCAAATTTCAACTATTCTATCTTGACTTTGTTTTGATATAAGGAATACTGATAACCTTTGAAAATTAACTGTATAACATACTTTCCAATACTTTTAAAAAGAATGTAAGACTTCCTCAAGTTTTGCTGATACAATAATGATAATAACAAGAGGGCCTGTATTGCTCAACTGAATATTTAAGCAGTCATAGCAAAATATTCTCATTAAATATTATATTGCACTAAAAATATTTCCCTCGCAAACTTTGTTGGCTCCATCTGTTGAAACTACCAGCAAAATACTATTATAAGATTCTATGCTTTTTGATTCTTCTTCAGAAGTAGTTCGAACCGTTTGACATATTTGAACGCTGTGACCTTGAAAGTAAGTCAAGGTCATTTGCATTCGCAAACTTTGTTTGGCTCTTTCCCAGGAAATAACCAGCCAAATATTAAGGTTCTATACCTTCAAGTTCTTCAGAAGAAGTCGTTTTAAGTGTTTGACATATCTGGCTAATGTGACCTTCGCAAACTTTGTTGGGCTCCTTTCCAGGAAATAACCAGCCAAATAGTCAGGTTCTATACCTTCCAGTTCTTCAGAAGATGTTTGAAGTTTTTGACATATTTGACCCCTGTGACCTTGAAAGTAGGTCACGGTCATTTTCATTCTCAAACTTTGTCAGGCTCCAACCAACAAAGCTTTCAGTCAAATATCATGACTCTATGCCTGTCCGTTCTTCAGAAGAAGTTGTTTAAAGGAAAAGTTGACAGACGAGGATGGACGACGCACCATGACATAAGCTTATTTTTGATAACATATTGAGCATGAAGCTCATCTTCCATATGGTCAAGATACAATGTATGATAAAATATACAATATTTACAGCTAATCAAATCAAATAACCAGATAACATGAAATATAAATGAGCCATTGACAATCCAATACCTCTGTCGTAAAAATGTGATAGCTTCATGGACGGATTCAGTGGAATTCCTTACAAATAAATCATTATAAAGAAAGGAAACTGAACACTGTGAGAACTGTTTGGCTATGTCACTGACAGGTATGTCTACATGTATTGATCCACTATGGGGGTTGTCTTTTGACCAAAATAAGTATGTGGTTTGATACCTTATAAAAACTAACATTCTGTGATATCTTGCTTAAAACTTTTTCCTTCAATGGTTGTTGTGGACAGAAAATCCCACCCTCTGTAAAATATTACCCTGTGCATTTAATTTATTCTGAAAGTTTGTAATGAATGTCTGTCTAGAACTAGAATTTAGCGACATGCAACATCAAATAGTACATGATTGGTTCAGTTTCGTTGTAAAAAATATCCCACTGGATATACTATGGCAATAAAAACAAATTACATGGCTTACAAAACTTATGAACCAGAGGTCATTATTGTTTTCACTGCCTCCGCTAGGAGTCAAACCCGGGACCTCTGGCTTACTAGTCTTACGCTCTACCGAATGAGCTTAAGAAAAATTACCCCTTGCCAAGTCGGTAGGAAGCAGCTAGTATTTTACCAGGACGACACTTATATTTGTAAGACCTAGTCTTATGCTGTCAAAAATATTAACATAAGGCATAGAAGTATTTGAGCAAGGTATAGAAAGCATGTTTTTGTGAGAAATGCAACTGATTTTTTACCAAAAATAAGATATGGAAAGTTTCCTCAAACAAATCGACGAACACTTACAGTAACATAATGTTACAATGATATATATTTGTAAGTTGTAAAGGTTCTCAACACCCAAAGACACATACAACTCACCTTTCGTTTCTTGCCTGTGAATTTTGAGGGTTTCTCCTTTCGAAGAGAGTCTGTGAATTTTCCAACTGAAGCTGTGGACCTCTTGGCTACTGCCAGAGCCTTGCTGACATGGTCTTTAGACGGAGCATCTGTGGGTGTCAACCCAACTCCAGGCACTGTACAGATGAAAACACCATTAACACTACTGACAGCTAGAGTCGCACAAATAACAGATATGTGCAAGTTCCATTTATTCTACAGGCAGCAGAAATTAATAAAATAAGGAACATATGACAGCACCATTAATACTACTAGCAAAAGGAATCACACAAGTGAGAGACATGAGAGCACCAATGACACTTCAGGCAGAGGTGTTTATAGGAAAACTGGTAGGGGTGTCACGATAAACCGGTATACCAGTATATTGCAATACAGACCTGTATTGTATTGAACCGCGATACAGAGTCGGTGTACCGTTTTCTCGATATTTGTTTCATATATCAATTGGTTCTATTATTTGTACAATATGTTGCAAGATTTTATTCAATACTGCAATATATTGTGGTATGCCACACCTGTATTGTGACACCCCTAAAAACTTGAGCTCAAAGTTTCAAATTTTTACCTGGTAGTTACAACTCTATGTAATGTATGTATTCTACTTAATAATCTACATTATGTAACCACAATCATAAAAGTAGGTCACTGCTGCCCAGATTAAAATTACCAAAATCAGGTCAAGAAACTCCACTCCTTTGTCATTAAGTGGGGCAAGATGCATCATGCAATGCACTCCACTCTATGCCTTTTTTGAAATTATTTTCAAAGTATTTCAAAACTTTATTGATAGAATTTGAAATGTTATCAAGTAGAACACAAACAGTTTTAACTACCATATTCATGTTTTAAAAATTGGAACTCTAGTAATCTATAATCCTCTAGACATCCCCCTCCCACCCACACAATACAAACATTTTGCCTTTTATCAACCCCGTCTTTTTTCTTTGGTGGGACTGATTGATCCAAAACAGAATCCCATTTCATAATGACCTTTATCTAGACTTTGTTTCGTCAAAACAAATCAAGCTCATCACACATTAAACGTAGGCATCCCTCCCTTTGACCAGAATAGCTAGACCTTGTTTGGGAACATGAGTCATGCATAATGTAGACAGCATCTGTAGCATGAGTGATCTCCAAACAACTATAACCTTAGTTTTCTGTACCCTGGCTATGTTCCTAGGGTCATACCTTTAGTTTTCTGTACCCTGGCTATGTTCCTAGAGTCATACCTTTAGTTTTCTGTACCCTGGCTATGTTCCTAGAGTCATACCTTTAGTTTTCTGTACCCTGGCTATGTTCCTAGAGTCATACCTTTAGTTTTCTGTACCCTGGCTATGTTCCTAGAGTCATACCTTTAGTTTTCTGTGCCCTGGCTATGTTCCTAGAGTCATACCTTTAGTTTTCTGTACCCTGGCTATGTTCCTAGAGTCATACCTTTAGTTTTCTGTGCTCTGGCTATGTTCCTGGAGTCATACCTTTAGTTTTCTGTACCCTGGCTATGTTCCTAGGGTCATACCTTTAGTTTTCTGTACCCTGGTTATGTTCCTAGAGTCATACCTTTAGTTTTCTGTGCCCTGGTTATGTTCCTAGAGTCATACCTTTAGTTTTCTGTACCCTGACCATGTTCCTAGGGTCATACCTTTAGTTTTCTGTACCCTGGCTATGTTCCTAGGATCATACCTTTAGTTTGCTGTACCCTGGCTATGTTCCTGGAGTCATACCTTTGGTTTTCTGTACCCTGGCTATGTTCCTAGGATCATACCTTTAGTTTGCTGTACCCTGGCTATGTTCCTATAGTCATACTTTTTGTTTTCTGTACCCTGGCTATGTTCCTAGGGTCATACATTTAGTTTTCTGTACCCTGGCTATGTTTCTAGGTTCATGCCTTTAGTTTGCTGTACCCTGGCTATGTTCCTAGAGTCATACTTTTTGTTTGCTGTACCCTGGCTATGTTCCTAGAGTCATACCTTTAGTTTTCTGTTCCCTGGCTATGTTCCTAGAGTGATACCTTTAGTTTTCTGTACCTTGGCTATGTTTCTAGGTTCATGCCTTTAGTCTGCTGTACCCTGGCTATGTTCCTCGAGTCATACTTTTTGTTTTCTGTACCCTGGCTATGTCCCTAGGTTCATACCTTTCGTTTTCTGTACCCTGGCTATGTTTCTAGGTTTATGCCTTTAGTTTGCTGTACCTCGGCTATGTTCCTAGAGTCATATCTTTAGTTTTCTGTGCCCTGGTTGTGTTCCTAGAGTCATACCTTTGGTTTTCTGTACCCTGGCTATGTCCCTAGGTTCATACCTTTCGTTTTCTGTACCCTGGCTATGTTCCTAGAGTCATACTTTTAGTTTTCTGTGCCCTGGCTATGTTCCTAG